ATTGTCAATTTGATAGATGAAAAATGACATCTCAGTGTAATTTTTAATTTGCATTTTTCTTGTTATGAGTAAGGTTGAGTATCTTTTTATATATTTAAGAGTCATTTGCATTTCTTTTTCTGTTAAACTATTTTTATCAGCCCATTCTTCTATGGTTTAGCTGGTCTTTTCCTTCTTTATTTTTGGAAACTTGGTGATAAAAATTGCAAATGTATTTTCAATTTTTTCATGTATTTTATTTTGCTCATAGTGATTTTTTTAGGTGAAAGGTGAAAAAAATCAATCTTTCCCCTATTATTTATGAATGTTATTTATTTATTTGTTATTTCATTCATTCATTGGTACTTGTGAAATTACAGTCTTTTTAATTTTGATTCAGGGTCCAACTGATTTGCTCAGGCTCCTTTGGATTTGCAATGCTGCTAACTCAGCCTCCTAAGTAGCTGGGGTTACAGGCATGTTCCATAGTGCCTGGCTGTATTTCTGGGTGTTATGCTACAGTTTAGAATATTCTATATAATATTGTGTTATAGATGAACAAACTCATCTAAAAAAAATAGCACTTGTATATTTCCTTTTTCTTTCATTTATATTTCTAATTCATTCCGAATTTTTCCTGGCATATTATGTGAGGAATGAATCCAGTTTTATTTTTTTTCCACATGGCTGTGCATTTATCTCAATGCTACTTTTTGGAGAACTATTACGTTCCATTCATTTGAGAAGCCATTTTAATCTATATTTAATTCACATATGTAATTAGTATATTTCTGGATTTTCTATTCTGTTCCATTGGTTCATCTGTCTTTTCATGTACCAATATCAAAATGTTTTAATTATAGAGGCTTTATGATATGTTTTGTGTTTGAAATAAGCCCTCTTTTATTTTTTTCCTTAGTTTCTTGGCTACTGTTGCTTATTGTTCCTCCTTAAAACTTTATAATCAACTTATGTAGCACAGGAAAGAAACTTGATGGTGTTTTAATGGGAATTATGCTAAAAGTACAGATTGACTCTGGGAGAACTGACTTCTTTATAATGTAGTCCTCCTCTCCAAGAACACAGAATGTTTTCTCATTTGTTTAAATTTACTGTTTTGCTTTTCTGGAATATTTTAGTTTGCTTCAAATATGTTTTGAGCACTTTTTAAAGGATGTGCTATCCTAAGAGGGATCACATTTTCAATTGTTATGGTTTAGATATGAGAGCTCATGTGTGGGAGCCTACAGAATGGGAGCAAATCTTTACCACAAGCA